CCCCCCCAGGCCCTGCTGTGCCCTCCCCTCTCCCCCTAGAAGGGGGCACAGACACTAGGGGGGTCTCCCCACAACCATCCTTCACAAGCCTCCAGCCCTGAGTCATGGGGAGGTGGAGCAGGCAGTTGGCTTTCTGGGGGGCCCCCCCCAGTGAGATGTAAAATGGGGGAGGCAGCCCCCGCCACGGGCACTATCGCAGCGTGATGCTCCAGTCAGCCCCAATGTTGACACCCGGGTTGCGGATGGTCAGGACGGACGTCTCAGCCTCATGACGGAAATCCAGGCGCGTTTCTGTCCCGTCTGTGGGGGGGGGGGGACTGCAGTTAGAGGCCTCCCAGCCTGGCCCCTGTGTGACCCTCCCCAAGGCTGCACACCTCCTCCCCTGTGCCCTCCCCAGCCCGCACTCACCAGCCTGGTGGAGGTAGACTGCAGCTGGCTTTCCTGTACCAAGGATCACCACCCGCTCCAGCCAGGCTGGGGTCTCAAAGGTGCCTCGGGGGTCTGCTGAGCTGCAGGGGGGAAGGAAGGCACAGTATGGGGTCAGGGGTGGCTGGCAGCACGGGGAGGGAAGAAGGCAGCAGAGCCAAGCTCGCTGGGAGCACCCCCCCCCCAAGGCTGCAGGGGGACAAAGGTGCCATCAGGGCTTTGCAGCTGCCAGGACATGAGAGCTGAAATACAGCGCAGTGCCAGGTTGCTGCCTTGCTGGTGAGAGCAGAGGTGGCATTCGGACAGGAGGCCAGTGCTAGCCTGGGAGGACAGGACCTGGGCAGGAGCTAGCCATCAGGGGTAGTGGAGCAACATGGTGGGCAGGACCTTGCCATGCTGGCATTGGTGCGAGTATGTAGCCATGAGGGGCAATACCTGGCTGTGAGGGTGTTACCAGCAAAGCTGAAATGCCGGTGCAGGAACCGGGCCTGGGTCTCGTAGTCAAATGTGTGCCCATCATCCAGGAATAGCTCCCCCTCAGCTCTGCCCTATGGAGAGAGCAGGGTGGGGATGATCAGGGGGGTCGTATGGGGCCACCACAGCCCCCTGCCCCACAGCAGCCTCCCCCCAACTTACTTGGGGGCCGAGTGCAACATAGAGGGTGAAGGGGTCGTCACGCATCAGCTCCGAGGAGCGACGCACCCGCTCCTGCCGTGGTACCACAGACCCACCGCGCTGGTACACAGGGACCTACAGGGGGGTTGGAGAGGGGAGTGCAGTTCTGTGAGAGCGGCCCCCAGACTCCTGCAGAATTGGGAGCCCCTGACCCAGCCCCCTCAACCAGTTTGTCCCCCCGAAAAATAAGGCCTGGATTAGAACTCTGCCTTTAGGATCGGGTCTAATCAGGGCCCCCTGGAAAGGAAAGGGCCCTCCCTCCCCTGCTCAGGATCAGGCCCAGGATGGGGCAGGCCCCAGGGGACTCACACTGCTCAGGGTGACAGGTATGTAGAAGGTCTGGGGAGCGTGGAGCTTCTGGTGGGTGTAGACATCATACCAGACCTGCCATGCGAGGAGAAAAAGGGTAGGGAGGGGAGAGAGGTGTTATGTGGGGGGAGAGGGGGGCTCAGACAGATGCCCCCTCCTGGGATACCCTTCAACCCCCTCACCTCGCCTTTGCCAGGTAGGTAGATCTGCACCCCACGGGCTCCCTGCTCTGTCACCGGGTGCACCAGCAAGGCCGTGCCTGGGGGAAAGCACAAACATGATGGGGTGGGGTGGGGCTCAGAGGGACATATCCCCCCCCTCCCCCCCCAATACATCCCCGGACACTCACCAATCAGGTACTGATCATCCATACTGAAGGTGGTGGTGTCGTCGGGGTACTCCACCCATAGTGGCCTGCAATGGAGAGGACATGGGGTCAGGGGGCTGTGCCCCAAACCCAAAGCTCCCCCTCCCCAGCAGCAGGGGCCCCACAACCCCACCCCCCCAGGCCACCCATGTCAAGAGTGACAGGTCCAGCCTCAATGCCTGCTCCAGACACTCCCCCACTTTGCTACACTGCCTGATCCCTGCCCCCCTGCAGCCTCCCATGCCAAAAGCAATGCCTGCCTGCCCCAGAGACCCTGACCCTTCAGCCCTTGCTCCAGACACCCCCCACTTTCCTAGGCTGCCCCCAGCCTGTGACCCTTACCCCTACAACCTGTGACCCCTACCCCTCCAGCAACCTCTGCCCAGCCCACGAGCCCCAGCCCCTCCCCTCCTGCAGCCAATGAGCCAGGCATGACCCCAAGGCCCGGTGCTGACCACACGACAGGGGCACCATAGCAGTGGCAGCAGTAGAAAACCCCAGCAACCCCCAACCCCTGCCCAGTACTCACCGCATGACGGGGGTGCCGTGGCGGTTGGAGTGGTAGAAGGCTGAGTACCAGTAGGGCAGCAGGGCGTAGCGCTGGCGCACAGCCTCGCGGATGAGCGCCATGTACTCGGAGCTCAGCAGCCAGGGCTCACGCCGTGCTGTGTCCAGGTGTGCGTGGGCCCGGAAAAAGGGCTGCCAGGCACCCGCCTGGTACCAGCGTGTCAGGAGCTCTGGCTCCGGATTTTTGAAGAAGCCACCCACGTCCGCTGCAGGGGGAGGAGGTCAGAGGAGCCCTGGGGACCCCCTGAACCCAGCACTGGGGCCAGAGCCTCTCCAGAACCCAGTGCAGCCTCCCAGGGACCCCTCCCAGCCCCAGGACACGGATTAGAGCTCCCCACAAAAGCAGCTCAGACACTGGGGCTCCTGCTCCCCCTGGCCCCTGACCCAACCTCAGGGACCCCCATGGGTGTGTGTCCATGTCGGTCTGCACACATCCATGTCACGTGTCTGTCCGTCCCTCTGTATGTTCACCCCTCTACGTCTCTGTTTGTCCAAGTGTGTGCCTGTCTGTACACGCATGTCCATGTTTTTCTGCGTGCATCTGTCTGTACGCATCTGCATCCACCTGTCTACCTATCTGTTTACCTGTGGGTCCACCTGCACGTCCCTGTCCACCTCCATGTGTATCTGCATGTGCCTGCATGTGCCCGTGCCCGTCTACATATTCATCTGCCTGCGTGTGTCCATTGCCTGGTGTCCATGTGTGTGCCCCCCATGACCCAGCCACCCCCATGCAGCAGCCCCCGCTCACCCCCGCAAAAGGCGATGCCAACCAGCCCCAGGCTGAGGCACATGGGGATGGAGATCTTGAGATGGTCCCACTCTGCTGCGTTGTCACCTGTCCACACCGCACCTGGGGGAGGGAGAAAAGCAGGGGGATGTGTCCCCGGAAGCCCAAGGCACTGCAGCCCCCCCACCAACAGGATGCAGGGAACGTGGTCCCCCCACATGCCTCCCCACTCACCGTAGCGCTGGGAACCGGCGAAGAAGGCGCGGGTGAGGACGAAGGGGCGCTCCCGCCCGCCTGACCGCTGCACCTGTCCCTGCGCTGTGGCCATTTGCTGGGGTGGGGAGGGAGAAGGAGGCCGTCAGGGCCCTGCCAGCCCCCATGTAGGCCCCTGGGGTCACGGGGGACCCAAAGATACCCCCCATCAGGGTCCTGCTGGCCCTCACTCCCACCTCCAAGCCCCCTCCAGCCCTAAGAACTCCCCCACATGCCCTCACCCCAGACACCGCCTACA